TCATTGATCAGAAAACATGCAAGTTGACTGTATGATCGTATTGCCGTTTCTGTTCTTTATAATGTACAGCTATTAACTACTTATGACTAGGGGGTGGATTATTAGTATTTTGATAGTATTCTTGTGTTTAAATAAGCAAATACACAGTTGATGTGAAACAGTTGTTGCAATGAAGTGTTGTATGCAGAATAACTTTATAAAAGAGCATCATCCCGTTTCGGAAGAGTTCTACATCAGCAGAAACCTTGTGGCGTATAAAATCATATTTTGATTTGCCTATTCAAGGAGTACCAGCTTCGGCATCAGTGTGTATAATGATTAGTAGATTGCCATAAGAAATAAAAAGACACGTCATGCATCTAACACTATACGTGCTAAGATAGTACTGGTACTGGCCTGTTTAAATTACAAAAAAATGATAGCATCGCTGAAAAGTGATAAAATATGCTCTTCGCAATTAAAGAATGTAACGATATAAACAGAATCCAGCCTGATTCATGATGACTTTTATCCTATCTAACGCTAATCCACTCATCAATAATCACTTATCATAATTAGAATAAAACTACACTAAAGTTTCGGGAAAATTCTACCGTTAATGGTCCAAAGCCCCGATGACAAAGAGGGAGGGTTGGAGACCGTGGCGAAGACTCCGTAAGACTTAACCTCCTGCCCGTCATGATATTGCTATCCTCAAACATTATAAAGGACCGATCGTCAAACGGCGTACCAAGGGCCGCGCAATCTGTCGAGGGACTGAGGTAGGCTGCAAAAAGTCAGTGATAAGAACTTGCTCATCATTGTCTGGCAACAGGAGCGGGTAGCAGCAAAAACGCGGTTGAGAAGAATCGACGAAACGAAGATACCAATCAGCAAGAGTTGCTACCCTATCTGAACAAAGGAGGCAGAGGGCGCGTTATAGCACGTCAAAAGAGTCCTTGGGAACGATACCATCACTAGGAACATGCAGTCAGAAATTCGAATATACCCTATATCGGAGAAAAAGTGCAGATGGTTGACAAGGACGCAGGGCACCAACTCGACATAGTTGGACTCTCGTCAGTGAAGCGCCAAGACTCTAGAATTTCGAACCTCTACAGGTGGAAGCTATTCGAGAGCGGTCATGGAAGATAACGATGAATTTTCGCGCTTTAGAACATCAGCGATGGTTTATTATCAAGTTTCAAAGCTTTGCCACTCCTTGTACAACGGTGGGACTCCGTCAACCTTTCGAACTTGAAAATATGTAGCAATTTCACATTAAATACAAATATTCAGCAAGAGGGCGCAATGAGCATTTTCACTGTTGCTATTGGATAAGTTAAGTAGTTATGGGGCTCCTTACGACAATTGAATATTGCTATGCTTTGAAAGAAAGCCCGTTGTTCCAAGCGAAAACGAAACGCGGAAAGACCATCGTCTACTGAAGCATCGCTGCTGATCAGCAGACGAATTCCCAATGCAACAAAATGCCAGAAGCCTCATAATCACCTAATGCTGGAAGAATACGAAGCCTGCCTAAATCACGCGCTATGCATCTAGGAATAAGTTATAGCGGCACATGAAGGGGAAATGGTTTGGTGGAGCTATGCTTATTAAGAATACACTCGGCGTACGTACTAACTACCATAGATCTAATAGCAAAATATCTACTACTTAAACAAGAACAAGAAAACAATCCTGCATTCTGTCATCATAAAACGACGATATACACAAATTAAATATCAATGAGTGAAAATATGATAAGTTCATCCGATAACATATCAGGAGTAACAGGACCAGAAATATCGTTCGTAATAATGAGCGCGATGCAGCCTTAACGGAGAAAATAATACGAAAATCAGGTGCTCCGTTACCACAGATCCATGGCCTGTCATCCATCCAGGCAACTTGGAGCAAGGCCGCGGTGAACATCTCGTGAAATCAGATGGTAGAGGAATCACTCGTTAATGGCTGGAAATATAGCAAACGAAGTAAATATGAAATTATGAGCAAACCCAGAGCGACTTATTTAATGACATTTGATTTACTACATTGTACAGAAATATGGAATGTCTTGAAATACTATGAAACACTTAAACACCGTTTCCATTCTGGAACTGATGTATGTAGGAACCATCACGCTGCCGAAGTTTTAGGAAAACTATCTGAATAGTTCCCCATCAGCAGTGGAGTTCGCAAGGGCGATATATTTTCGCTTTTATTATCCAACACTGTTCTGGACTTTCGTACCTGAAACAGTACTAACCCCGGAAAAGATGGTTTACTTATAATACAGGAAGACACGATATCAGGCTATATATTTTGCTTTTCGGTGAGTAGCACATGAAGCGGGCTCTGCAACAAAACGGCTTCTGTACGAGACAGCTGCAAAAGCCAGCTTCCAAAAGTTATGAGGATCCCATACAGTAACCTAATCAAAATTGAACAAAGAGGTGAAGTCCTTCAGGAGGGTTACCAACTTAAATATCTAGGCTCCATCATCTCCGGTAATGACACTATCCAGCTAGAGTTAAATAGAAGGATCGGTCAAATCTCGAGTACTTTTAAAGACCTGTCCAATATTTGACCTGAGGAAGGAGTTGCTTCCACAAAAATCCGCCTGTACCATGCCTCTGTCAGATCAGCGTTGCCGTTTGGGCATGAGAGAATTGCTGTAAAGGAGGATCAAGATTGACGAGTGAACTGAGTGGAGCAGCCTTGACTTAGAAGCATAAT